AGATTGAATCTTCAAATAAATCATGTCCACAACCTCAAACTGCACGTGTTTTCTATGTCTATCTATATGTTTCTTCATAATTTGTTGTGCTCTTCATAGATGTTCCCTTAATTCTGTCAGAATCCGATCCCTTTCTCCTAAGTACTACACTGATGACACTAATGTGTTGTCATGTTCATAATGTATTAGATGAGGTGGATCCCTCCCATATAGGATTTTAAATGGCGTTGTCTTGGTTGTTGTATGATATAAAGTGTTATACCAATATTCTGCCTAGGCTAACCACTTGGCCCACAGATTTGATGTATCTGATACAAAGCAACAAAGATAAGTTTCCACACTCTAATTCACCAACTTCATCTAGCCATCCGTCTGGGGGTGGTAAGTTGTACCCCACTTCAGAATAGTCCCCTGCATCTTGAATAACTCCCTCCAAAAGTGGCCCAAAAAGATCTTATCCCGATCAAGTACAATAGCCTCAGGTACCATACAAATGGACCTCTCTAATGAATATGGTTGCCACTGAAACCGCATTGTATAGGTGGCGTAAGGGAACAAAATGAGCATATTTTCTCAATCTGTCTACGACCACTAGAATCATAGTGAACCCTTTTGATCTAGGTAGTACCTCAATGAAATCCATAGTCACCTCTTCTCAGACTTCCGATTATGCTAAAAGCTACCACCTGGAGCCATAATCAGGTATTTGTGCCTCTAACACACATCAAACTGGCCAACAACTCATCTACATCATTCTGCATGCCCACCCAGTATAGCACCACTGCCAATTGATGATATATATTCTGAACTCCTTAACATCCCCCAATAAATGTGCCATGAAACTCCTATAACAAGTAAGGGATGTGTGGTGATATTCTTGAAAGCATAAACTCCCTAGTATAGTAGCTTTTGATCCATCAAAGAATAACCAGGAAGGTTATCCTTGTCCTATAGATAAGTCTCTTCTGATCTTACTTAGCTCTGCATCCTCCTCACTTTCACATTCAAGGCCTCTCAATCCACCACCATGGGAACATATAGAGCCATAACCTGAGGGTTTTCATCACACCTGGGGAGAGCATCTGCAACTTTATTTTCCAACTCGGGCTTGTATTGGATCTCAAGATCATAACCAAACAATTTGGAAAGCCACTGCTGATGCCAGTACCAAGCAGTAAAAAACAACCACCAAAATCAAGAAAAAACGGCAATGGTATGTAGGAACAACACTAATAAAGCTAAAATAATAATCTCCAATCAAAGAAACATAAGATACAATTGATTCGCTTGAGAGGTAAATCGACTCTTCCCAATTTCCTAGCATCAACTAGGAACCTAAGAAAAACTACTTTAGAAAATTCTTCGCATAATCCCTCCCACTTACAAACTTTCCCCCTTAAAACCAACTTTAATGCCACCATAAGTGTCCCTCACATTTCCTTCAATGATCTCCCCTTAAACTTTTCCCACAATAAATGCACCTCACATTTCCTCTAATGATTTCTCCTTAAACTTTCTCCTTCTATATTTTGCTCATTAAATGAGGTGGATCCGTAATTGTATCAATACTCCCCTCCCAAAAAGTCACTCCTTAAGGTGGAACAAGAAAATTGCCTCCATATAGTATTGTAGGCTTCCCATGTTGCTTCATATTCTGATAAATTCTTCCACTTGATCCCCTTGTTAGTGGTTTTAATATTACCTTCATATCTTCTGATAGCATATCCAGTAGTGTGAGCAAGGGTGTATGGTCTTCAATGGCTCATCTCAATTGTGAAACATGAAATACTTGATAAATGGTTGAAGTTGGTGGCAACAGTAGGCCATAGGCGACCATGCTAATGCACTCCATGACCTTGTATGGCCCAAAGTATCAAGGGAAAAGCTTCTTATTCCTTTGTCTAGCTAGACTCTTCTGTCTGTAAGGTCGGATCTTCAGATAAACTATGTCTTCAATCTCAAACTACACAGCCCTCTTGTGTCAATATGTTTGCTTCTTCATAATTTATTGAGCTCGCAGTAAATGTCCCTTCAATTCTGCCAAGATCTGACCCTTTCTCCTAAGTACTGCTCTACTGACGATAATGTTATGTTGTCATGCCCATAATGTAATAGATGAGGGGGATGTCTCACATATATGATTTTATATGGTGTTGTATGTGCTATTATATGATATAAAGTGTTGTATCAGTACTCTGCCCATGCTAGTCATTTGGCCCGCTTCTTTGGGATATCCGAGACAAAGCAACGAAGATAAGTCTCCACACTACGATTTACCACCTTCGTCTAGCCATCTGTCTGAGGGTGATAAGTAGTACTCCGCTTCAAGATGGTCTCCTGCATCTAGAATAGCTCCCTCCAAAAATGGCTCAAAAAGATCTTGTCACGATCAGACACTATGGACTCAAGCATGCCATGCAAACGGAACAACTCTTTAATTAGAGCAGTTGTCACTGACTCCGCAGTGTATGGGTGGTGTAGGGGAATGAAATGAGCGTATTTATTCAATCTATCCACCACAACTAGAATCACAGTGAATCCTTCTGACTAAGGCAATCCCTCAATGAAGTCCATAATCATCTCTTCCCACGCCTTCTCCAGTAAAGCTAAAGGCGGTAAAAACCCACCTGAAGCCATAACCTGGTATTTGTGTCTCTGACATACATCACAACTGGCCACCATTTTCTCCACATCCTTCTACATGCCCACCCAATATAGTTTTGCTACCAGTCAATGATATATCTTTTGGATTTTTGAATGTGCCCCAACAGATATGCCATGAAACTCCTACAACAAGTGAGGATGTGTGGTGATGTCCTTAATAGCAAAAACCATCCCTGGTGTGGCAAGTTCTGATCCACCAAGGAATAAAATGGACGACTATCCTAGTTCTGCAATAAATCTCCTAAGATTTTACTTAACTCTTCATCATGCTCGCTCTCTAGCTTCAAGACCACTCAATCCACCACCAAGGGGACCGATAGAGCCATTACCTAGGGATCTTCCCTAAATTTAGAGAGAGCGTATGCTGCTTTATTTTCCAACCCAGGCTTGTATTGAATCTCGAAGTCATACCCCAACAACTTAGAAAGTCACCATTGATACTCCTCTGTCACCATCCTCTGCTCCGGCAAGAACTTCAAACTCCCCTGATCGGTCCTAACTATGAAGTGTCGCCCCCAACAAGTAAGGTTTCCACTTCTGAATTACTAACACAATCGTCATGAGCTCCCTTTCATATACTGATTCCAGTCTAACCCAAGCAGTCAACACTTGACTATGAGCCTCTGCCCTTGCATTATAACTGCTCCCAACCCATAGCCTAATGCATCAATCTCAATTACAAATGATTGGCTGAAATCTGGTAATGCTAACACAGGGATGCTAGTCATGGTTTTCTTCAGCTAATCAAATGCCCGAGTGACTGCCTCCCCACATTTGAAATTGTCCTTCAATTGTTATGTCAATGGTCAAGCTATAGAGCTGTATCCCTTCACAAACTTTCCATAATATCCTGTGAGTCCCAATAACCCCCTTATCCCCTTCAAATTTTTAGGCACTGGCCACTCCACCAATGTCTCTATCTTGGTTGGATCCACTAACACCCTAGCTTGAGACACTATATGTCCCAATTACTCCACCTTGCTGCGCACTTCTTCAAGTTGGCATAAAGTTGGTGCTCCTTCAAAATTCCCAAAACCATCCCCAAGTGATCCAAGTACTCCTCCTCCAACTTGTTATAGATAAGGATGTCATCAAAGAAAACTACAGCAAACCTCTAAAGATAAGGCCTGAACATCCTATTCGTGAGTAACTGGAATGTGACAGGGGCCTAAGTGAGGCCAAAAGGCATCATCGAGAGCTCATAGTATCCCTCGTGAGTTCTGAAAGCCATCTTATGGGTGTCTTCTAATCTGGTGATACCCTGGCTTCAAATCGATCTTTGAGAACACCGCTAAATCATGCAACGCATATAGAAGCTCATCAATGACCGGTATGGAAAACTTGTCCAACACAGTCTCCTTGTTCAAGTCATGATAATCTACACATAATATCTAACTGTCATCCTTCTTCTTCACCAACAACACGGGACTAAAAAATGAGCTCACACTAGGCTTGATGATCTTGGCTTCAAGCATCTCCTGAATCAACCTCTCAATATCATCCTTTTGGACCTGTGGTAGTAGTATGATCGGACACTAATGGGAGTGACTCATTCCTTCAAAATAATAGCGTGCTCGTGCTTCCATGGAAGAGGCAATCCTTGGGGAGGTTGGAATAATTAACTAAATTGTTGGAGAAGCGGTTGAACTATTTCTAAATGTCATCTATCTCCTAGGCGTCTCCTCCCTCCAAGCTCTGGAGCTCCCAATCCTTCACCCTATATGGCATGCACCATGTTTTCAAGGAAACTATTACTTTGGATAAACTAGGATCTACCTTAATCACCACATTTTTCCCCTCCACTTGGATCTCCATAGCCATGGCCTTCTAGTCCGCCTTGATCTCCTCTAAAGTTTGTAGCCACTTCATATCCAAGATCAGATCTGTACTTCCCAACTCTAGTAGAAGAAAATCCTCCATGATATGAATCCCCTGCTTTCCATATCCATCAGCATAAAATTGAAACCCTGCTTTCACAATTGCTATTATAAAAAAGAAATATAAGCCAATGCTTTCCATATCCATCAGCATAAAATACAGTGAACTACATCGTGGCCAGTCAAAACTTTAACAAAAGAAAAGAAAAATCATAAAATTATTTAGTAAAACTAAGTGATAAATTCAAACAAACATGGGAGCTAATGCCAGGCCTCTTACTCACCCATGCAACAACAAAGAAACAAAAGTTACAGGAACCCAAAATAACAGAAGAAACCGGAAATCTGAGCAATTTGGCAAATAAATCAAACCTAACCCGATTAACAATCACTCACATAGAAGAAGAAAACTGAAAAGAAATAAAAACATGAACGTAGCACGAGTACGAAGAAACTCACACGGCTCGCTCTCGATGTTTACCGGCCTTCCAGTAGGCATAGGCCATGGTGTACTGGTACTGGTCGGTAAGTAGCGGGGTCACCATCGGATTCGTCGCCGCAGGAATAGAAGCTGCAGCTGATTCGTTCGCCTCCGCCATTGATTCCATCCCGCTGCCCCTCTGTAGGGCTCCTCTCGCTTCCTAGCGTTCCTTGCTCACAGATGTCAGGGGAAAGAAAAAAAGCAAATTTATCAGAGATCCAGCGAACCACCGCGTTCCACAAGATCCGGAAGAGAGAGAGTAATGGAGAGAAGAAGCCAATGGCCAAGGGAAGCCGTCTCTTTTTTTTAATGGTGGTGCTCCTCGTTTTCCCTTTATTGCCTCTCCCTTTCGAATTCTCGAAGAGTTCCACACGAAGAAGTTAATGCGGTAAAAATGGGCTCCAGGTTCCAAGAAATCATTGTAGATTTGTTAGAATAAAAATAATTATAATCGGAATGGAGAAAAGTGGCGATGGAGGCGGTTTGAAGTTCGAATCTTTGAATTCTCTTTGGTTTGATGCGCATGTTGACTTTTGTGGTGCCGAGATGGGTTCCATCTCGTTTCCTTCTTTCGCACCTGCGTTGCGCACCGTTGGGTGGATTCGAACTTCTATCTGGCAACAATAAAAAAACTGCCAAAGCCAAACGAATAAACTCAGCCTTACTTTTTTAGGTGGCTTTCTTAATCCTTAATTTATTATTGTTTTTTTCTTAAATTTTAATCTTAATTTTATTTGGTCATAATTTTTTGTTATTTTTAAAAACATTAATAATAAAAAGTTTTTTATTTTCTACACTAACTTTAATTTTTTTTTATACCATTATTAGTGCTTTCTAAATCATTTTTTAATATAAAAATTTTTAATATCTTGTTGTGGTCGAATCCCCTAATCTACTTTATATATATATATATATATATATATATATATATATAAGAAAAAATTTTAAGCATAGAAAAAATAGTAGCCAAAAGTTATCCCAAACGGAGCTATTAAAAATTAATTTCTCTACAACAATTTAACAAAACAGTATGAAAGCTGTCCCAAACAAAATGTATCTTTTTTGTTAGAAAAAATTTTTGATTGCTTGCTTGAAAAGAAAAATAGTAAGTAAAAAAATAATGTCTATTGAAATGATAATTTTTTATCATTATTTTTTATATGTCATCAAAAAGTTATCTTGATTGAGCATGAATCTCGAGGTAAAAATCAAATTGGAAACTTCAAAATTAAATTCGGAGTCATGTGGACTCCGATTTGAGCAAACTGAGCGTCCCGGAAATACATACCCAACGACATCAAATTCGACTCAATCAGAGCCCAAATGAGTCCAAATCAAGGACCCGAAGTGTTGTTAGAAAGTTCAAACCATAATTTGAGTTACCAAATGGTTTTCAAACATAATGTGCTTATATTCAAATCAAGCAGCTCGACGAAACAAATCCAACGAGCCTAAGATCGCAAAATTCCAATATTGTTAAGACCTTCAAATGCTTGATAAACGGTCTACGATCAAAGGATTCAATATCGGTCGTCCATCCGAACCACTCAACATTTGCCCTTGATCCTCCTCCTATTTACGGGTCATGTCATCCTCAAAAATTATAAATAGCCCATCATTTCTCTTGAGAGGGGAACCAAGCAAGAAAAAAAAGAAGAGAAGAAGAAGAGAATGATAGGAGGGAAGAAACTCCTCCTCGACCACCGTCGGAATTCTGCCCGACGCCCAAGTGACGCCGGAACTCTGCTCGACGCCCAAGTGACGCCGGAACTCTGCCCGATTTCCAAGTGACGTCGGAATTCTAAGTGATTTTGAATTCAGCTCGAATACACAACTTCTTTGTAATTAGATTTCAATCTGGATGTGAAACATTGTAATCTGATCGTCCTAAATTTTTAGGACGAGTTAGCCTCTTGTACCTCAAACAAACACTAGGAAAATTATTTCAACTTAGCGTGACCCCGTGGTTTTTTCTCTTTCCAGGGTTTTCCACGTAAAAATCCTAGTGTTATTATTTCTTCTCTGTTTGTGTGCTAGATATATGTACAATGTTGAGATGGAAATTTTCTAACTATATCGCCGCGTATATTCTAGCCCGCAACAATTTTAAATTTATCTCTAAGAGATTACTTTTAAGAAAATATTTTTAAAATGATAGCTAAAAAGACCTTTAAGAAAATAAAACAGAGGAACATTAGATGCTTAAATAAAAAACATTAAATTTATTAAAAGCGAACATTTTATTTTTATAGGACTCACTTATTAATGGGTTGAAAATTAAAAATTTTTAAAAAGAAATAAATAAAGTTGATATCATTAATTGAAATAATTTATGTTGTATTTAATGGCTTCAATTTTATGGAAAAAAAAATAGTTTTTGACTTGCAGAGACATTTTTAAATGTAATATATGTGACACATCTAATATTTAAAAAGTGTTATTTATAAATTTTAGAATATATTTAATACTTTTTAATGATAAAATTTGATGTGTGGGTGTGAATTAGTGATAAGTGAAGTATATATACATATACATACATATGAAGCTTCAGATGTTATTTGGGATAGCTTTCTTATTGCTTTTTAAAACAATTTTTTTTTACAAAAATTGATATTGTCTTAAACTACACTTATAATTGATATTGTATTATAAGAACAACTAAAAATATAAAAAAAATGATCTCATGATTAAAAAATAGTTGTAAAGGATAGGGTGATAAGATAATTAACCTAACTTAAAGGTTTGGTAGAATAAACCCAATTAGAAACCCATGGTTCCATCTTTTAAGGCCATCAAAGTCTCTAGTCTACTTAGTTGAAGAAGAGAATTGACTCAACTTAATAATGATAATTTTTGTAATTAGCAACTATGAGTTTTGTTTTCTAAGGAGACCTCATAGAATTGAGAAGTATACAAAAAGGAAAATAACTTACTTCAAAAAGAGGATTATAATACATAGGATAACAAGAGTGATATGATGGATGGGAAGTAATATTAATCATGCCTCATGATTTTCCATCATTTTGGTTTATTTGATAAAATGGTTTACTTAACTAAGAAAAATGGTTATCCCAATTAGAGTAGATGATCCTAGTCAACTTCCAAGTGTTGCATTGTTCTAGATGACCTTGTAGAGACCTCATAGAATTGAGAAGTATACAAAAAGGAAAATAACTTACTTCAAAAAGAGGATTATAATACATAGGATAACAAGAGTGATATGATGGATGGGAAGTAATATTAATCATGCCTCATGATTTTCCATCATTTTGGTTCATTTGATAAAATGGTTTACTTAACTAAGAAAAATGGTTATCCCAATTAGAGTTGATGATCCTAGTCAACTTCCAAGTGTTGCATTGTTCTAGATGACCTTGTAGACCCAAAGGGGTGGGAAGACACAAACCTAGTCTTAAGCTGAAATATGAGGCTCATATTCTAAAATCAGAAGAGGAAGAAACTTATATTGAACTCAAAGTGTTAGCCTTGTAAGACATGCCTAGATTGAAACATTAAACATATGTTCCAAAGACTAAAAGTTGATATAGAGAAATGATTTTTTAACATTATAAGAGACACCAACAAAGGTAAAAAAAAAGGTCTTATCATACAAACTTACCACATAGTTATAGCCATTGCATGGTAGAACTTGGTGGTGATGTTATAATTATAATAGATTGCAAGTTTGGATGATATGATGTAGAATGTTTATGCATCTAATATATAAATATTTTTCTATAATTATTAGATCCCTAAATTTGAAGATATAATAAGATTAATATAGATTTTACATTTAAAACCTATACAATTAGAATAATTACCATTACGCTCGATAAAATCCTATTCCACTTTCCATTCCATCTTTATTTAGGTTAATAGAGAAAGAAATAAAAAAAGGGAAGGAGAGAAGAGAGAGAAAAAAAAGCTTGATTTTGAAGGTCTTAGAGCCATTTTTGTAAATTGATCTAATTGAAAATTTTATTTGTCTCGAGAGAGGTCACACTATATTTATCTCAAATTTTAAAAATATGGAGTTTTATTGAATTTTTTTATTAAATTTCTATTTTTGTTAATGAAAAATAAGTATAACTTTGCATTGACAAAACTTTCACCACATAACTTTTTATATATTATAGAAATTGAAATTATGAACACTTTACATTTTTTTTAATTTATACCTAAGGTTTTAGAATTTATATTATTTTTATCAAATAGAAAATAATCAGGACTTTGAAAAATAATGATGTAGTACAACTAAAATCTTAAAATAGCATTTTACATGATCTCTGGTAATTTGATTAATTGTTAAAAATATGCATTTTTGCTTAATAGGATTTTCTATTGCTTACTGTTATGATATTTTGGTTTTTTTAAATGTGTTTATTTATGCAGCAATTACTATAATACATTTAAATATATGCATAATTGATTGAAATTGGTGATTCTATGGAGTTCTGAAAGGGGTGGTGAAAGTTTTGTTTGAATAATATATGTGCATCCTACTTTATAGTTGTTTTTTTATTATTATTCAGAATTGTTGAGCTCTATCTGTTGCTCAGAGTTATTGAACTCTGTCTGTTGCTCATAGTTATTGAACTCTATTTGCTAGGATGTATAAGGGTTGGAGTTATCAAAATTTATATGGTGGGAGGAATATATGAAGTGCTTGTGTATTTTATCTAAAATTTTGATAAATGTATTTATTTCTCTATTCAGTTCCATTTTTTAATACAAAATGATTTAATCAATAATATGATTTGAGAATTTAGATGGGTTAAATATGTCCTTGTGAACTGTGGTACGTAACTCACAGATGTTTTGCTTCATGTTTTTTCAGTGCTAGGAAGGGGAAGGCTTTGGTTGAGTAGTTGTTTAGGATCTAACTTGAAGTTGTATATGCATTTTCCTGTTTTGATTTTTGTACAATGATGGCTAGTTTTTGTTATGTTCTTTTAAATATTTTATTATTTATAATCATGTATTGTCTGTATATATATTTTGATGATAAAATACTCAACAATTTGGATATTTTAGTAGCTTTATAGTTTATTGTTATATTAAGATGTATATGAGAAACAATATGAAAAGTTTACAAAACTAGATATTGGGATTTGTCTGATAAAGTTGAACATCTTAAGACCTATCCCTTCAGTGGTTGGGTTGTGAAAATTATTTTATTCCATATAATAATTATTGATCTGTCTTCAAAAATTTATCTTGATCAGGCACGAATCTCTAGAAAAAATCAAGTTGGAAACTTCCAAAATTAAAATTGGGACCATCCAAACTCCAATTTCAGCAATCTTATAGTCGAACTGAACATCTTGGAAATATGAACCCAACGACACCAAATTCGACTCAATCTTAGCCCAAATGGGTCTGAATCAAGGACCCGAAGCACTATTGGAAGGTTCAAACCACAATTTGGATTACCAAATGGTTTCCAAATGTGACATGCTTATAGTCAAATCAAGCTGCTCAAGGAGACGAATCCAACGAGCCTAAGATCGTTGAATTCTGACTTCACTAAGACATTCAAATGTCCATCAAAAGGTTCATGATCAAGGGATTCAACATCAGCCATCCA